ATTAAAATGTATTTTACAAGTTTTTGTTACTTTCACTGTTCATTGTCTTGCTCTATGTACATCATCTTTAATTTAATAGCATTAGAGCTGCTCCATTGCAGCGGCTCAGTACTGTAATCACACACTTTGCTGTAATAATGCAGGGAACCACTCGTTATAAATCTCCTAACTGTGATATTTTCAGAAATAGAAGTCGCGTTTTTTCATCTGAAACGTGCTGCGATTTATATTCCAAAGCCACTCATATAATGCAGAAACACTCAAGCAAGCAAAACACGCGCAACGCACGCACGTATTTGTACTGATGCAGAATGAGAGGGACAAATACAGTACAGCCTAGTGCATTTCACACAGGCGGTTCGATTCACTTTCGCCAGAAAGTCGTGTATGCCTAAGGTTGAAAATAAATGATGTTTATAGTGAATGCCCCTATAAATGGTCTTATTTTTACGATTTCGTTTTAATCCAAATGATGCGTGTGCTCAGTGAGTGAACATCAAAGATCACACAACAGAATTGCGTGCGCTCTCTCTCTTTCTCTCTCTCGCTCTCTCTCTCTCCCTACCGTTAAGTAACTTGTGCATTGTTTTACTTACTTCTTTTTGACATATCCAACCGAACTACAAACTTTCCAGTGATGTCTGTGAGAAAGATATATTCACTCGACAAGCTCGCGCATCTGCGCCGCTGCGCGCTCAACCCACTCAGCTTGCTTTGCTTATCAGCTCGCGCACATCAGCTATACAGACACTAATACTGAAAGTTTAACATTATATTCATTGCATACATATACTTTGTAGACATCCTTAATCTCTTATAACTCCATTCTGTTGTCTGTTGTTCTGTTGTCGGTGTTTCTTTGTCTGAATATGGCACTGATCACATGTTGTGTGGTATCGGCGTTTGGTATCGGGGCATTTTAACGAGTACGAGTACGAGACCAGGAGACCAGTATCGATACTGGTATCGGTATCGGTGCATCCCTACTTACATATATCGTATTACACATATCTTTTATTTATTTATTTATAGATAATAAATATTTATTTATTTATTTATTTATTTGAGCAAGTCCAAAGGAATAAAAAAACTGATGACAAAAGGTGTATACATTGTTTGGTACATTTTTGGTGCAATATATATATTCACTCAAATAAATAAATAAATATTTATTTATTACCTATAAATAAATAAATAAATATTTATTTATTTATTTGAGTAAGTCCAAAGGAATAAAAATCTGATGACAAAATTTGTATACATTTTTTGGTACATTTTTGGTGCAATATATAAATTCATGACATTAATTTATTTTGTTTATTTTTCTAACTTGTACATTTGGTACATTGTACATCTAGTATTTTCTTGCATTTTTTTTTTTTTGCAATATACTATATAAATTCAAGGATAGGATTAAAACCTAAATAAAAAGGACTTTTGAATAAATGTGGTTTATTTTATTTTATTTTTTTGCTTTGTTTTGTTTTGTTTTGTTTTTTGGACTCAGTCCAGTAGAATAAAAATCTGACAAAATTTGTATACATTTTTTGGTACATCTTTGGTGCAATATATAAATTCATGACTTGGACGAAAATCTAAGTGACACATGGGACTTTTAAATATTTCTATTTAGTTAGTTAAGTTAGTTAGTCCAAAGGAATGAAAACCTGATGACACAAATTGTATACATTTTTTGGTACAATAATTGGTGCAATACACAAACTCAAGACTAAGATGAAAATCCAAGTAAAAATTTTTAAACTGGTTGAAATGAACATAGTTTATGTGGCGAATGCCATGGAGTATAAAAGCACCTTATTAGGCAAACCTTCCCTAAGCCCAAGAGTGCATGTGAAGGCCCACGGGGAGCTGAATGAATCAGCCCAATCACGCCTGATCCACTGAGAACTTCAGCTCTTTCATAAGACGTGTGTCAACGCTGAAGCGATTGAGAAAATGTGTGCGTAAAGTGATTGGATTTAATGCATAAAGCCTTAGATCACTGAAACGGGAGCTCTCCACTTAGATTATCGTAATGTGAAATCATGAGGCCATATTTGGAGAGAAATCTGAGGTTGGCTGTGCCAGACGTGCACTGATTAGCTCTGTTTGATGAAATCAGTGGGTTTCACTGTACTGTAAAGTATTAAGGTGAATATTACGGTCAAGGCCTGACGGCGTAAATCAAGCGCCCCTGCCGATGAATAAAAACCACTGATCCCAGAAGCCTCCACGTTCCACCCTGACGATCCACATGCAGCATTCGCAAGATCTGGAGGAAACGGATCCCTCTGCAATCAATGAAATCAGAGCTTCTTTAGTTCACAGAGCAATATACTACAATAAACATCAGGCAAATATGATCATCACTGGTTGTTCTGCTGATCAAACACGTGAATGATGATGTTTCTGTTGCTCATATCTGTACCTGATTGCGGACGTGGCGAACACTTGCCCATTAGACCCAACGCTCAGAACCACGACAGAGGCGACGACCACTATCAGATCTGTGTCACCAGTGAAAGAAGACATCAAGCTCATTCATACAAATAAATAAATAAATATTTATTTATTTATTTGAGTAAGTCCAAAGGAATAAAAATCTGATGACAAAATTTGTATACATTTTTTGGTACATTTTTGGTGCAATATATAAATTCATGACATTAATTTATTTTGTTTATTTTTCTAACTTGTACATTTGGTACATTGTACATCTAGTATTTTCTTGCATTTTTTTTTTTTGCAATATACTATATAAATTCAAGGATAGGATTAAAACCTAAATAAAAAGGACTTTTGAATAAATGTGGTTTATTTTATTTTATTTTTTTGCTTTGTTTTGTTTTGTTTTTTGGACTCAGTCCAGTAGAATAAAAATCTGACAAAATTTGTATACATTTTTTGGTACATCTTTGGTGCAATATATAAATTCATGACTTGGACGAAAATCTAAGTGACACATGGGACTTTTAAATATTTCTATTTAGTTAGTTAAGTTAGTTAGTCCAAAGGAATGAAAACCTGATGACACAAATTGTATACATTTTTGGTACAATAATTGATGCAATACACAAACTCAAGACTAAGATGAAAATCCAAGTAAAAATGGCATTTTTAAACTGGTTGAAATGAACATAGTTTATGTGGCGAATGCCATGGAGTATAAAAGCACCTTATTAGGCAAACCTTCCCTAAGCCCAAGAGTGCATGTGAAGGCCCACGGGGAGCTGAATGAATCAGCCCAATCACGCCTGATCCACTGAGAACTTCAGCTCTTTCATAAGACGTGTGTCAACGCTGAAGCGATTGAGAAAATGTGTGCGTAAAGTGATTGGATTTAATGCATAAAGCCTTAGATCACTGAAACGGGAGCTCTCCACTTAGATTATCGTAATGTGAAATCATGAGGCCATATTTGGAGAGAAATCTGAGGTTGGCTGTGCCAGACGTGCACTGATTAGCTCTGTTTGATGAAATCAGTGGGTTTCACTGTACTGTAAAGTATTAAGGTGAATATTACGGTCAAGGCCTGACGGCGTAAATCAAGCGCACCTGCCGATGAATAAAAACCACTGATCCCAGAAGCCTCCACGTTCCACCCTGACGATCCACATGCAGCATTCGCAAGATCTGGAGGAAACGGATCCCTCTGCAATCAATGAAATCAGAGCTTCTTTAGTTCACAGAGCAATATACTACAATAAACATCAGGCAAATATGATCATCACTGGTTGTTCTGCTGATCAAACACGTGAATGATGATGTTTCTGTTGCTCATATCTGTACCTGATTGCGGACGTGGCGAACACTTGCCCATTAGACCCAACGCTCAGAACCACGACAGAGGCGACGACCACTATCAGATCTGTGTCACCAGTGAAAGAAGACATCAAGCTCATTCATACACAAAGTTATATACAATTACAGTATCTTGATTAGGAGATGGCAAATTGGCAAAAAAAAAAAAAAACTTTAGTCTGTAAATATGACAAATGTTCCAGCGAAGTGAAAATAATGACATTATTTTAATGACATTAATAATGACAATAATGACATAATGGAAAGAAAAACTTTTGATGCAAAATTTATAAATAAAAATACAGCTGATGTAACCATGGTTATTAAAATATATACTCCATCGGAAACTATTCATTCTTTCTTTTTTATTTGTTTGTCTGTTTATTTACTTATTGATCACTGCAAATGAATAAATAAATAAATACTTTAGTCTGTAAATATGACATTTCTGTTTAAGTGAAAACAATAACATTAAGGTGAAAGACTCTTTGCTTGTTTGTTTGTTTACTGGTTTGTTTGTATTGATGTTTATTATGTTATTTTTATTCATTTATGTACTTTATTCATGCAGTAATTATTTTGTTTCTTTTATTTTTAATTTAATTTTTGTTAATTTGCATGCAGTTTATGTGGCATATTAATTTAGATATTACATTAACAAATATTTCATTGTAGTGAAAATAATAACATTAAGGTGAAAGAAAAACATTTTTGGTATAATTAGTATAATTGGCTGTGCCAGACGTGCACTGATTAGCTCTGTTTGATGAAATCAGTGGGTTTCACTGTACTGTAAAGTATTAAGGTGAATATTACGGTCAAGGCCTGACGGCGTAAATCAAGCGCACCTGCCGATGAATAAAAACCACTGATCCCAGAAGCCTCCACGTTCCACCCTGACGATCCACATGCAGCATTCGCAAGATCTGGAGGAAACGGATCCCTCTGCAATCAATGAAATCAGAGCTTCTTTAGTTCACAGAGCAATATACTACAATAAACATCAGGCAAATATGATCATCACTGGTTGTTCTGCTGATCAAACACGTGAATGATGATGTTTCTGTTGCTCATATCTGTACCTGATTGCGGACGTGGCGAACACTTGCCCATTAGACCCAACGCTCAGAACCACGACAGAGGCGACGACCACTATCAGATCTGTGTCACCAGTGAAAGAAGACATCAAGCTCATTCATACACAAAGTTATATACAATTACAGTATCTTGATTAGGAGATGGCAAATTGGCAAAAAAAAACAAAAACTTTCGTCTGTAAATATGACAAATGTTCCAGCGAAGTGAAAATAATGACATTAAGGTGAAAGAAAAACATTTTTGGTATAATTAGTATAAAATATATACTAAACTAAAAAACACCTTTTTGTTACTTGAAATAAATGGTAACTGAAAGGAAGAAAATCCTAAATTTATCTAATTTCAGCTATAAAAACTATATAAACATTATATATATATATATATATATATATATAAAAACATATATTTAAAATGAAAAATAAATAAAAATTACGAAAACACAACAAAATTACTAAAACTTTAAGAGAAATTCTAATGAAAATTAAACACATAAAAACTAATTCTATTAATTAACTATTACAATAAAAACTTAGAGTAGTTTCTCAATTATACTAAAATAATACTATAAAAATAAAAACTATAAAAATAAAATAAAATAAAATAAAATAAAATAAAAATTCAGTGTGAGGAATGAACCTGAAGTAATACAATTCATTCAAGTAGATACCTATAATGGAGATGGGTTTCCTGATGAACCTCAGACGGCCTTTAATACCCACATATTTGCTCCGACAGCCGGCCGACCACAGCCGGACCACGTACTCCGTCCCAAAAAACACCACCAGCACGATCTCCTGCAAAGCAGAAAGAAACAGGTGGATCTTTGTATGCATATATGTGTTTCTAAACACTATCAGAGGATCTGGCTTGGTCTGAATCAATGGCACATGTGGAGGAGCCGGGCAGTACTGCTCCTCTCTGACCTCTCATGATCATTTGACCCTGAGCGGCTCAGGGGTCTCTGGGGTGATACGGGTGGCCTGTCTGCAGTTTGCTTACACAAGTCAAAATAGCACTAACAATAACTATAGTCTAGGCTTGCCGCGATAGACGGTGCTGACGGTGATACCGCTGTTAAGCCGCAACACTGGCTATGTGACTTGCCCACCGCGGCACCGACCCCCACCGTCATTTAGATTTTTTATAGAAATAAAAATCATTTAGTTCAGTAAAAGAACAGACACTACAATTAAAAACTGAACGCAGCTCAATGCAGCGTGCCGAACGTCAGTCGCATCACAGATCAGATTTCATTTCTCCAGTGAGGAGAGCGAGTCCAGCTGACTGACAAGAAGAGTGAGGCGAGACAGACGAGACGATCGCGGATGATTCAGTTTCGAAACGAGATGCAAAAGCGCCTGTTTGGCAATATTTGGGATTTTGAAAAGCTTGTTGACTTTTGCCGTCTATCTAAGGTGATTTTGGAAGGTTTATTTTAAACATTCATTTCTTATTTAATTGGTTCCACATTGTTTGCTGATTTTTACTTTATTTAAACTTTGTGTCATTTATTTATTTTATTTGACATCAAGGTGTGCCTCCAAGCTTTCTTAATTGTTTTGCTAATAAACATCCTACGTTTCTTATTTATTTGGTTATATATTATATATATGTTTACTTAGCCTATTTTGTATACCTATTTAAACTTTATGTAAGTTATTTGTTATTTTATATTAGGCATATCCTGCCCTATAGCATGGTGTATTTGTATTTGTTTTGGTAATAAAAGTTCTATGTTTTATATATATGTTAAAAGTGAGTTTGACGTTGTATTTTGTTGTTGCATTCAAGCAGTTGACGCCTAACTGCCGCTAATTCAAAAGTAAAAGTAAAATGCGCACAGCGCTTTCAAGCTATTTAAAAGTGAAGGAAACGCCACCGGCCCTGCGGTGATACCGGTATTACCGGTGTTGTCACACATCGATTAACCGGTGGAAAAATTTCCTCACCTAGTCTACTAGCAGAAACATACAAACTGCATGCAAGCCTATTCACAAAAATATCCAAAGGGAAATTTCAGCGCTCAATAAATGTGGAGCAGCTCAGATCACTTGATGAGAATAAAATAAAATAAAATAAAATAAAATAAAATAAAATAAAATAAAATAAAATAAAATAAAAAATAAAATAAAAAAGTAAAATAAAATAAAAAAAATCTTAAACTTACTTATTTCAACTTAATTCCACTAATGAGTCACTAGTTGTTGTCCAATAAGAGTTTGGAGTGTGAAACATCTCAGATCCTTTGATGCGAAATGAGTCACTATTAAAATAATACAATTTAAAAAAAAAATAAATAAATAAATAAAAATAGTGAAACATCTCAGATCCTTTGATGTGAAATGAGTCACTATTAAAATAATACAATTAAAAAAACAAGTAGTGTTTTACCAAACACAACAACATCCCATAAACCTTGAGTTTCCATTAACATTCCCTCTTATCTCTTATTCATACAGACAAAACAGTTAATTAAACCTCACAATCATCAGATTAAGCAATGAAAATGCATAAGCAAGGAAAATAAGAAATAAAAAAGATATAAAAACATCATAAAAAAATAAATGAATAATCAAATTATATAAATGGTAAATTATTAAAAAAATAATCAAACAATAAATTACATAAATGGCTAAGGATTCTAAATGATTATACGAATAATACAATTAAAAATAAAATAAAATAAAATAAAAAGATAAAACAGTAGATGTCTTGGCTGGGTAATAATAAAATAAAATAAAATAATTAATTAACTAAATTAAAGGAAGACTCTTAGCTGGAGACATAATGGACTTCCCAGTTTCGGAATGTCTCATTTAGAGATCAACTTTGATTTGGAACTTTGATATTTTTTATACAAAAAAATCTATTTGGAATTGTTATTTGTAATCTAGAATTTCAAGCGTGTCTTTTGTGATCTTAGGTTTTTAAATGGTTGTACTTTTCAGAGGTTTTGAAAAAAAAAAAAAAAGATAAAAATTTTTTATCTTTTCAAAGTAATAAAACCAGACACAAATAATTCAATAGCTGTTATCCTGTAAAGGGATTTTTCCAGAAAGACACTTAAATTTGACCATTTATTGAGAAATGTTTGTACTGAGATCTCTGACTTTTGACTTTGCCGAGTCTAAAACGCTCTGTTTTAGAGAGATCTTTGTGTATTATCTCTCACACAGTATAAATAGACACACACGCTGTTCAAAGCCTCTGGGTTTCTCTGGGATCCGCCCCACAGGTGTCTCCAGGTGTGGGTGTACTGACAGAAATACTAAACTACTCAATCAGTAATATCTAATGCGCTTCAAGCCCTGTCCATGAACTCAACATCAGCTCAACTGAGATATGACACTGCCATCCAGTGAGAGAATACAGTACTGCATTAGCCTACTGGAAATGCCACCTGCAGCACAATAAAAAAATACCCCTTTAACTTTAATAATAAATATCTCAGTGTGTGCATGCTTTTCAATAAATAAATAAATAAATGACAAATACATAAATACATTTTATTTTAGTAACAAACTATCTGTCTTGGTATTTTCTGCTGGGGTAAAAATAAAATATAAAAAATAATCAAATTAAAATAAAAGCATCTGTCTCTGTTCCCTGTCTAGGGAAAAAAACTATAAACCACAAGCACTTGGTGTTTTCTGTTGAGGTAAAAATAAAATAAAATAAAAATATCTGTCTTAGCTGGGCAATAAATATAAACAACAAGCATGGTTCTGCTCTATTAGTTTTCGTTCTATATTAGAGGTGTACGATATTTATTGTGTACGATAATATCATTCATAAATAAATACATAAATAGCCTTATAATAGTCTTAGCTGGGCAATAAATATAAACAACAAGGACTTGGTATTTTCTGTTAAAGGTAAAAATAAAATTAAATAAATAGTTTAAAAATACGTTTATTAAAAATAAATAGTTTAATAAAAGTAAATAAATAGTTTTCATTATATATTAGGGGTGTGTGATATTTAGTGTACGATAATATCATAAAACAAATAATAAATATAAATAATAATTTATAATAAAATAAAATAATTAGCTGGGCATAAAGCAAATGTAATTAAATAAATACAAAAAAAATGTATATCCTGTGAAACGCTTACCATCCAGAAGAGAGATCCTGTTGCGAAGTCTGCATACTGCTCGATGGTGGACAGGACGCTGAATATCAGGCAGACTAGCACCATGAGGAACCTGCGGACATAAAGTTACACACAGGTGTATCTCTTTCCATTGAATGATTTCATCGAATGATTCAAAACCACATCATTATCTGTTCCCATCAAAACCGCTTCAGAGCCTGATGAAGATTTCAATTATTTTCCATTGAATTCTGTTCTAGTGGTTACCTCTGCAGGATTCTGCTCTACAAGATTCTAATCTATAAGGTCCTAATTTGTGGCAACATACACTACACTCTTAAAAATAAAGGTGCTTAAAAGGTTCTTCACAGTGATGCCATAGAAGAACCATTTTTGATTCCACAAAGAACCAAGGTTCTTTTATGAACCATCTCTTTCATACTTTTTATAATCTGAAGAACCCTCTTTCACCACAAAGAACCTTTTGTGAAACAGAAACAGCTTTTCCAGATGTTAAAGGTTCTTTACGGAATCATTTAGACAAAAAATGTTCTTCTATGGCATCGTGAAGCACCTTTATTTTTAAGAGTGTACCAGTCAAAAGTTTTTGAACAGTCAGATTTTTAATGTTTTTTTAAACAATTCTCTTCTGCTCACCAAGCCTGCATTTATTTGATCCAAAGTACAGCAAAAACAGTAAAATGTTTAAATATTTTTACTATTTAAAATAACTGTTTTGTATTTGAATATATTTTAAAATGTAATTTATTCCTGTGATTTCAAAGCTGAATTTTTAGCATCATTACTCCAGTCCTCAGTGTCACATGATCCTTCAGAAATCCTTCTAATATTCTGATTTGCTGCTCAAAAAACATTTATTATTATTATTATTAAGTTGAGAACAGATGAGTAGAATATGTTTAGGTTTTGTTGATGAATATAAAGTTCAGAAGAACAGCATTTATCTGAAATAGAAATCTTTTGTAACATTATAAATGTCTTTAGCATCACTTTTGCTTAATTTAAAGCATCCTTGCTAAATAAAAGTATTATTTTCTATAATTTTGTTCCCAAAAAATATCTATAGTGTATAATGGTTCTTTCTATTCATCAAAGAATCTTGAAAAAAATGTACTCTTAAATATTGATAATGATAATAATAAATGTTTCTTGAGCAAATCAACATATCAGAATGATTTCTGAAGGATCATGTGACTAAAGACTGGAATAATGATGCTGAAAATTCAGCTTTGATCACAGAAATAAATTACATTTTAACAGATATTCAAATAGAAGGCAGTTATTTTAAATAGTAAAAATATTTAAAATTTTTACTGTTTTTGATGTACTTTGGATCAAATAAATGCAGGCTTGGTGAGCAGAAGAGAATTCTTTAAAAAAACATTTAAATCTTACTGTTCAAAAACTTTTGACTGGTAGTGTACATACACTGTAAAGTTTCTGGAGTGACAACCACATTTAAATGCAGGAGTGAATCCCCTAAAACAGAAGTGTTTGTGCGGAGCGTGGAAGCTGAACAGTAAACTGGAGGCGCCGATGCGATCATTTGCATTTAACTTAATATACACCCTCAATTTTGCTCAGACAGATAAGAGTAATACATCTTTTGAATCTGTAAAAGGTATACTTTCATCTGTGTGCATTCAAAATAACAACAAAACATTGCGCTTTTGTAAAATAATGAAAGCAAACAGGGTGCGCTTTCTGCCGTCTCGGTCTCTGTGAACTTGAGCACGTCAAAAAAATAAATGAATCTCAACTCTGTGTTTGACTCACAGACATGAAAATATATATAGATATCTATATAAAAATATCTATAGAAAATGTCTACTTTTAAATGAACCAATTGAAATGGAAAACAAATATGTTCAGATTATGTAATCCGTATGAAACGTGGAGATGACGGAGTCAGTGACGTTGACTTCGTCACTGCAGCCGAAAATACAGAAAACACTAGTTTATCAGTGAATTATAATGTTAAGGCAGTCTTCTTGCTGTTTTTTCCCTGACACATTCATAATCATTACTTCTGCCGGTGCGCTGTGGCAAGCTCTATGCATGTGCTTGAGCGCTGATAGGCTACAGGCAATTAAAGGCTCATTATTATAAATTACATGGTTTATTAATATAAGCGTGCAATTAGTCGACTATTCGCTTCAAATGTACAACTATTAGCCGATCAGAAAAATCTTTAGTTAAGGGCAGCACTAGTATTACAGAATGCAACGTTGCCTGTTCCCCTTTTCAGTGGTGCTGGTTCAGTATTTTTTCCATTCATTTTTCCCATAGGGATTTAAAAAGTCTTTGTTAAAGCACTCTAAGCCATGAACAAAACCAACCAGTGAGTCACAACATTACAAACTTTGATTTGAAACAAAAAAGTTTTTGAAAATCAGGTAAAAAAACATAGGTACAAGACTTACTGGCTTAATGGCTTTAGTGAGTGAAAGAACTACAATCCCATGAAGCACTGCGATTGACAATCAAATTAAAAACAATGGCGAAAAACAATGGAAAACTATCACAAGCTTGCCTGAGGCTCATTATTTACAGGTAATAATGCTGTAAATAATGTTCAGTTTCTTGCACAGACCGATAATTTCGCTTCATAAGATCTCAATGTACTGTATTGTCAGGAGACACAGGTGTTAATTTTGTTCCTTGAGATGCTTTTTTTGACTCTCAAAGTGACAGTAGCAGTCAGCTTCTTTACAGTTCTATTGAAGAAACAAACTCATCTACATCTTGTGGCCTGAGGTTGTTGAGTAAATTAACAGCAAATTTTCATTTTTGGTTTAAGTTTTTTTTTAAGTTTTCATTAGGTTTTTGCTCTGGGTTCTGCTCCATTTGATTCAGCACTGTAAGGTTTCTGCCACACGATCAGGTTTCTACTCTAAAAGGAGTCAAAGGATAATGACGCTGTACATTACTGAAAGCAGTGGCTTTTAAACATTCACTCCATTTGGAGCCCATAATCAGAAGGCCAAAACCTATTACGACCCGAAAATCTGGTAAAAAAACATAGGTACAAGACTTACTGGCTTAATGGCTTTAGTGAGTGAAAGAACTACAATCCCATGAAGCACTGCGATTGACAATCAAATTAAAAACAATGGCGAAAAACAATGGAAAACTATCACAAGCTTGCCTGAGGCTCATTATTTACAGGTAATAATGCTGTAAATAATGTTCAGTTTCTTGCACAGACCGATAATTTCGCTTCATAAGATCTCAATGTACTGTATAGTCAGGAGACACAGGTGTTAATTTTGTTCCTTGAGATGCTTTTTTTGACTCTCAAAGTGACAGTAGCAGTCAGCTTCTTTACAGTTCTATTGAAGAAACAGACTCATCTACATCTTGTGGCCTGAGGTTGTTGAGTAAATTAACAGCAAATTTTCATTTTTGGTTTACGTTTTTTTTTAAGTTTTCATTAGGTTTTTGCTCTGGGTTCTGCTCCATTTGATTCAACACTGTAAGGTTTCTGCCACACGATCAGGTTTCTACTCTAAAAGGAGTCAAAGGATAATGACGCTGTACATTACTGAAAGCAGTGGCTTTTAAACATTCACTCCATTTGGAGCCCATAATCAGAAGGCCAAAACCTATTACGACCTAAGTTCTTAAAGTTCTGTCACTAAACACTCTCAATGCTATTCAAGCAAGGCGATTATGTTCAGAAAGCAAGTGCATACTGTATGCCGTTTCAGAACATATTGGGCTTATGTAAAAATCCTAAACAGAAAAATATAAGCGATCTCAGATGAGCTAAATGACTGCAGCTGCGCTGTATGGAAAAAGAAATGCTCCTCTAATCCTTTTCAGAAATGACCAGATGTTGTGATATCACACCATCAACAGCAGGATTAACAGAGATGCAGGATGTGACACTTGTATATGGAACAAATATGGCCTCCCTCTTTTCTCAAATTTGGATTAAGCCAGGTCAATAGATGAAAGAGTAATAATGTTTCATAAGCTAAATATCCCTTTAAATCTGTCTAAAGGTTCAGTAGCAGGGAATTGTTACTATAAATTGTTCAGGTACCATCTGTGAATAATAGTCAAAATATGAAATAATCAAACTGACTTTAATTGATTTTATATTTAAAAATAAATTAATGAGTGTTGTATACTGTATTTTAATATATATATATATATATATATATATATATATATATACAGTATATAACAGTCATTAATTTATTTTGATGTTTGAAGTGATTGAGAAAATATTTACTTATATAAACTTATATTATACATATTTAAGTATATATATATATACACACACACACTCACTTTATATTTACTTCAAATAATTTAAATAAAGCAATATCACACACTTTAGTTATTAAATTGTATTTTATTTCAAATTTATATTTACACAATAATTTACTTCAATACTTCAATTTAAATAAAGTAAATTCATATATACACTTTATTTGAATACTATTTAATTTAGAATTTCTATTTCTATTACAATTATATTTTATTTATTTACATATTACATGTGTGTGTGTGTGTGTACTTTTTAATTATTAGATCATATTTAATTTATTATTTATATTTATATTGAAATATATTGAAATATTTTATGTAATTCTATTAAAATTTATCAAAAAATATCACAAATCTTAAATGGTATTAAATATAAATAATTAATATATATTTACTTTAAATATTTAAATAAATTAGAATATAAATATAAATTGTAAATGAAACAATTTAATAATTTACAAACATAGATATTTTAAATCACTACAGCCTAATTAACAAAAACTACAACTTCAAACCAACAGTAATCTAATTTAGAACTGTGCATCTTTTGAAAGGTCTTGTTGTGTTTGACCTTTGGCCTCTGACCCTTTTCTCACAGCAAGATCATTGTCTCTTTGTGCAGATGTGAGTCTCTACCCAACAGTATGTTCCCGTCAATCCCATGGACCCCTGCAGACACATCCAGCGCTCTCGCCTTTAGCCAAATTAAATTCCAAATCCAAACCAGATTCCTAACCCAAAAAACAATAACAGTTCCCTCTGAACCCTGCCTTAGACGAGCCATTTTCAATCAACCTCCCATTGCGTTAAGAAGACACGGCACACCAGCAACTAATAGCATCACAAGCTTGGGACTAAGTTCAAAAATGAAGGACAAACTCTAGACCTGATTAAAACAAAACATCTGGTGCATTACTGAGATGTGACAACCATGATTTAATTTAAATCAAAGACAAATGGCAACTGTTTTTTTTCCCCCATATCAACTTTTATTATATCAATTTATACTAACACTGGCCTGGAAAATTTACCAAGGTCTTTTTTTTTCTCCAGACCTTAATTTCGGGACACATGTGGAATATTTATCACAATAAGCCTTCAAAAAGAAAATATGATTAGCAAAATCACCATATGTCGTTCAGTTTCTGAGACAGGTGCAGTTTCACAGAGAGATGAAAATTGACTCAAATATGGTTATAAGATAAGAATAGATAGATAGATAGATAGATAGATAGATAGATAGATAGATAGATAGATATCATTTAAAAGCTTGGGATCAGTAAGATTTTTTTGAAAGAAATTAACACTTTTATTCAGCACGGATGCATTAAATTGATTAAAAGTGACAGTAAAGACACTTATATGTTACAGAATATTTCTATTTCAGATAAATGCTTTTCTTTTGAACTTTTTATTCATCAACAATAAAATCCTGAAAACAAAATGTAGCGTGGTTTCCACAAAAATATGATGCAACACAACTGTTTTCAACATGGATAATAATCAGAAATGAGCAGCAAATCAGCATATTAGACTGATTTCTGAAGATCATGTGACACTGAAGACTGGAGTAATGATGCTCAATACAGCTTTGCATCACAGAAATAAATTACATTTTAACATATATTCAATCAGAAAACAGTTATTTTAAATTGTAATAAAATTTCACAATATTACTGTTTTTACTGTCATTTTGATCAAATAAATGCAGCTTTGGTGTGCAGAAGAGACTTATTCTAAAAATCTTACCAACATCAAACTTTTGAACAGCATGATACATTTTGGAAAAAGTTCTGAACAAAAGTACAAAAATTAGGCTACTTTAATATATTCAAAGGTCTTTTTGTTTTTTTCCAAAGGTGACATTTTTCAATGTGTCTGAGGACAGATCACTGCTGATCTATCTGACAGCGATTACGGTTTTCCGGTCGTCCAGGAAAAGCTGGTGATGGCTGTTTCCCAGAGTCATGCCCCTGATATCGGAGTCATCCATCAGCTTAGCAAAGATATTAACACTCATTAGCAGGGTGATGCGGAGGATTATGCTATCATATACTGCACATTTGGCATACTGCAAAAAACTGTGATGCATATTCACTTCAGCAACCGAACACACTTTTTTTTTTTTTGTCTCATACATTCTCAGGAAAAAGGTTCAAAACTGTCACTGGGGCAGTACGCGTTCAAAAGGTACTAATACATACACTTTAGGTACTAATACGCACTTTTAAAGCATTAATATGTACCTTTAAGGTATTAATATGTACCCTTTAGGCACAAATATGTACTTTTAAAGCACCTTTAAGAACTTGTACATTGATATGCACCATTAAGGTACTAATATGTACTTTTAAAACACTAATATATACCTTTAAGGTACTAATATGCAATTTTAAAGCACTAATATGCACCATTTAGGACAGGTACTAATTTGTATCTTTAAAGCATTAAGGTACTAATATGCACTTTTAAAGCACTGATATGTACCTTTAAAGCACTAAAATGTACCATTTAGGTACTAATATGTAAATATAATATAAACTTATTTAAAATAATTTAAATTAGGTTTTTGTCAGAGCCCTTGTTATTCTTAATTTTGACATACATTTTTATTTTTACACCAGACACGCAGTATATATCAATGCAAAATATCAGTAATTGGTCTACTTGATCTATAATAATCGGTATCGGCCATAAAAAACACATATCGGTCGACCCCTAGTATCAATAAGCACTTTTAAGGCACTAATATGCATTAAAACACTAAAATGTACCATTCCAATACATTTAAAGCATTAATAAGTACCTTTAAGATACTAATATGTACTTTTAAAATACTAATATGCCCCATGTAATTTTAAAGCACTAATATGTACAATTAAGGTACTAATAAGCACTTTTAAAGCACTAATATGTATTAAAGTAGTAACATGTACCATTGAGGTTCTAATATGTAATTTTAAAGCATTAATCTGTATCTTTAAGGTAATAATATGTACTTTTAAAACACTAAAATGTGCCATTTAGGTACTAATATGTACCTTTAAGGTACTAATATGCTATTTTAAAGCACTAATATGTACACTTAAAGCGCTAATATGCACCATTTAGGTAATAATATGTATCTTTAAAACAGTAATTTGTACCTTTAAGGTACTAATATGTGCATTTAAGTACTAACATGCACTATTAAAGCACTAATATATACCCTTAAGAGACTAATATGTGATATTAGAGCACTAATATGTACCTTTAAGATACTAATATGTACCATTTCGGGTTAAATAAGCTACAAAGATGTACCTTTTAGATCTGGTACCTCTGAGTACGCAGCTTTGCACCGTTTTTCTGAGAGTGTATGGGTTTGTAGGAAATACACCTACCAATTGAGAAATACACTAGAGCAGTGAGGATAATAGTCCTGTGAATGTCTCCGTTTGCCTAGTGCAACCCGAAGCAGCACAAACAAACCGCTGAAACATAAAAAGTGTGATAGTAAAAGCGGAGCTGTGAAGTACAGCGGCTCATGAACACCACCTGACCCAGCTCTGGCCTGAGAGTACTTATTGATGGCAGGCAGTTTTAGGATCCTGACAGGGAAACAAGAGAGCATGAATGTAATCCAGTAGACAGCTCAACTTAAGCACAAAATGGTACACTGGTCTCCGTACCATGCAGTTCGGTAAGTACAGACTGCTCTAAGTGCAAATACTCAGAGACAGTTATAGCTAGCAAAACTACCAGTCCACCCAGCTAAGTGTGGACTCACTTCATTGAGCAACAAAAACCACCAAAGCAATCATATATTTGTTGTCTAATGGGATTTCAAGTTGGAGACTCACTTCATTGAGCAACAAAAACCACCAAAGCAATCATATATTTGTTGTCTAATGGGATTTCAAGTTGGAAACGGATCAAAATGACTCCTGCATCCATCTAGCTGTCCGGAGAGGATTAAATCGCCAATGAATTGTGATCTTATTTGAGATGAACTGATTACTCTTATGGCTCAATATTCTTGAATGTGAAAATTATGGCCCCCAAACAGGGTAAATAAATACTGTATTTTCTGGAAAATAAGTCGAACCTGGTCACAATTGCATTGTAGAATTTTTTACATTCAAAAGCTTTGGGTCAATATTTTTTAGTATATAGTTAATAGTTTTTATTCAGGAAGGACACATTAAATTAATCAGAACTGACAGTACAGACATTATAGGATGTCTTTACACATACAACGTTACAGAATATTTCTATTTCAAATAAATGCTGTTCATTTGAACTTTGTATTCATCATTAAAAAGTCAACAAAAATATCAAGCAGGGAAAATAAATACTGTATTTTCTGGAAAATAAGTTGCACTTGATTATAAGTGACATGGGTCAAAATTGCATTGTTGAGAGCAAAAAACGTTGTTGTAAGTTGCATCAGTGTATATTTCACATTTCATTATTACATTCAGAAATAATGTAAAATACTGAATATCTTAACAAGCATTAAACATGTACTTTATTTCCCCTCACTCCACAACAAATCCTTTCAATTTAACAACATTCAGAACCCGTTGTCAGGCTCTGGGCCAGGTTTTGTGTGTGTCTTTGCTCTCTATGTGCTCCCTCTTCCAGTTTCTCTCTCGTGTTTTGAGTTCATTGTTCCCAGGTGTTTCCTATGTTAATTGTTCCAGGTATAATATATGTTCCTTGTCTTCCCCTCATCAGTTCCTGTGTATTTAAAGTGTGTTCTAGTTCTTGGTCAGTCGGTAAACGTCATCCTGATGTGTCGAGTCCTGTGATCCCCAGCCTTCGTTAATAAACTCTTTTGAGTTACTTTATCTCCGTGTCTCCTCGCTCCTTTGTTCCCGTGTTCCTCGTGTGTGTGCACCGTGACAGAACGACTGACCAAAAACAGTAAGCGGCGCTCCTTTTCCCGTGTTTTATTTTCGTTTTTGAACAATCTTTTGTTTTCCTTTTTCTCCTTGTTTGTCTCCGCGGATGGAAGACCGCGCTTCTGTGAAGCGTGCCGGCCGCACCGTTGTCAAGCGCCAGCCGGGACTTTCTCCAGCCCGCTGGCCTCGCCAAAGACAAGCCCGCCGGATGCTCAGAACCACTCCGTAGCTATGTCAAGCCCGCCAGCCGGGGCTATCTCCAGCCCGCTGACCAGGCCGATGGCAGGCCTATCAGCCGGGGCTATCGCCAGTCCACTGGCCATGCATATGGCAAGCCCACTGGACATTAATGTGGCAAGCCCGCCGGCGGTTCCTATGTCAAGCCCACCAGCCGGGGCTATCTCCAGCCCACTGACCAGGCTGATGGGAGGCCTGTCAGCTGGGGCTATCTCCAGCCCGCTGGCCACGCATATGGCAAGCCCATCGGACATTAATTTGGCAAGCCCGCCAGATTCAACACTCCAGTTTGCCGACCGCGCCTTTTTCCCCCCGATCCAGAAGAGGAGACGAGGGGTGTCGGCTTCAACCCCAGAGCTCGCTCCCGTGTTGGCCCAGAACACGCCTTTTCCCCCCCGATCCAGAAGAGGAGACTAGGGGTGAGGAGAAGGGTGTCGGCTTCAGCCCCAGAGCTCGCTCCAGTGTAGACCCAGACCACTCCTGTTCCCCCCCGATCCAGAAGAGGATGCTAGGGGTGAGGAGAAGGGTGTCGGCTTCAGCCCCAGAGCTCGCTCCAGTGTAGACCCAGACCACTCCTGTAGTGTCGGCCCAGGCCCCAGAGTTCGCTCCAGTGTGGACCCAGACCACTCCTGTTCCCCCCCGATCCAGAACAGGATGCTAGGGGTGAGGAGAAGGGTGTCGGCTGTGGCCCCCGAGTTCGTTCCAGTGTCAGTCCTGTTCCCGAGTTCAACCCACGGAGGGCTCCCGATCCCGAGTTCAGCCCAGGAAGGGCTCCCGATCCCGAGTTCAGCCCAGGAAGGGCTCCAGTCCCTGGTCCTGGCCCATGGAGGGCCTCGGAACCTGTAAACGTACCCATGTATTTTTTTTGGGGGGGGGGGTAGTAGGGCTCCAGCCGTAGAGGCAGGGGCTAAGGCCTCGAAGGCTGCTCCGCAATGACCTCCTGAACTGCCTGCACCACCATGGCCTCCTGTGTTCCCTACCCCGCCATGGCCTCCTGTGTTCCCTCTTCCGCCTTGGCGCCCAGAGCTGACAAATCCACCATGGTGCCCCGCTCTGGAGGCCTCCCGTCTGGTAACCCTACTCCTAGAGGTCTCCAGAGAGCCCAACCCCCTCCCCATTGGCTGTTTTGGTGGCGTGAGGACACCTTCTGGGGGGAGTAATGTCAGGCTCTGGGCCAGGTTTTGTGCGTGTCTTTGCTCCCTATGTGCTTTGTCTTCCAGTTTTTCTGTCTCGAGTTTTGAGTTCATTGTTCCCAGGTGTTTCCTATGTTAATTGTCATTAGTTCCAGGTGTCCCTGGTCTTCCCCTCATCAGTTCCTGTGTATTTAAAGTGTGTTCTTGTCCTTGGTCAATCGGTAAACGTCATCCTGATGTGTCGAGTCCTGTGATCCCCAGCCTTTGTTAATAAACTCTTTTGAGTTACTTTATCTTCGTGCCTCCTCGCTCCTTCGTTCCTTGTGTGTGCACAGTGACACCCGTGTTATTTTATTATCCTTTACATACTATTTTAGTTTTTATAAATATTTCTATACATGGTTTTCATTTTAGTTACTTTTTAGTCATTTTTATTTATTTTAAATTACTATTTAGCTTTCATTTATTTTTATTTTAGTTTTACTTCCGTTCCAGTTTATTTATTTTATTTCCAGTTAATCAACTTAAACTAAAAAATTAAATGAAAAGTTTAGGTTTTACACCTAATATTTATATTTTATTTCAGGTTTATTGCAATCAACAGTTTTAGTTAACGATAATAACCCTGTTCAGAATGGAACGGGAATGAAGCAGTGGCATTCATTATAAACAACATCTATTATAAACACCAAGCCTAAACAAATTTATTTAAAGCAAAACTGAAACTGCTGGTATGTGAGTAATGCGCTATAGAAATAAACTTGTGCTCACGTACCTCTTCATTCAGCACAAGTCCAAATGTGTGCACGTTCTGCATGCTTGATGTTAACTGCATA